TTCGATGGTCTAAATCCATTTAGACCGGATTATACCATATCCTGTCATATACATATACATATATAGACTTGTTAGAAAATACTTGAATTGGTCAAAATAGAAACCAGGACCGTTGGCTTTGTGAACAAATTTCTAGTGACCAATTATTTTCAACCAAGCAAAGTGTGAGACAGCAGAGGACTGGGCAATATCTCATCTTGATTGAAGTTAACACAATTGGATGACAGCCCAGTGACATGGAGGTTAAGCATCTGTATGCGAGGCTAAAGACCCTGGACTCGTAGATCAGCACTGTTGAAGAGCCACATACTAGGATGAGATGGTCATTCACTTTCAGGTTTGTTATAGTTGCGATTTCAATGAAATTCAACAATCTCAATAACCCTACTCTAACAATTCAAAAACAGTTTGACATTACATCGAATGATTTATTCGTAACTGAAGGAGCAATTTTTACCGACTGACAATATATCGTTTTCCTCAGTATAAATTTAAATGAATCACAAAAAATAATTTTCCTTGTAACGATTTCTGGATTTTCCAGTTATAAAAGATAGTATCTAATTGAACTTAATGGATAATACGTAAAATCTTTGGAGCGAAAAGTACTGAGATTGAGTTTCGACGTGAACATCAACACTGAGATGCAAATACATCCAAAGAGAATCGAGTGAAACGTAGCAGGTAACTTTAGTGGCCAAGCAGGTAGCTTAAACCAAACAGGAAAACATTTAGGTGGGTACTTTGATATTCCGGCTCAGAGAACAGATAATGGTAACCGTCTGCTGCAACTGTGCTCAGACAATCGTTTATTTTTAGTAAGCACCAATTTTAGGCATGGAGAAAGACATCGTTTAACATGGCGACCCGTCGCACCAAACCAACGGTGGACTCAAATAAACCATATTACCATTAGTCATCGTTGGAAAAGGGTTACGAAAAACCAGTGGATTTCTACCTAGTCTATTGCACTGATAGATTCTCGTAAACTCATCCCATCAGGCTCTGAACACGATGATGAGCGAAAACAAATCACATGTAGGTCAACAAATAGTCTGCGGAACGACCGTGAGCAGTGGTGCGTAACGAAAGCAAACGAGATGATAATGGCAGCGGCTGTAGGTAATACCAGATAACTATTCGGACGGATAAAAGAAACTGGAATTAAGAAGTCAAGTGTAAGTGAGACGACCTCGGAAAAAAATAACACTTATCTGCTCTCTGGCCAGAAGTTTAGAACTATGGGCGGAACATTTGAGGGAGCAGTTCAGCTGGCCTTCAGCTACTCTACAACTACCCACCATTACCAAACAGCCTGAATGAAACATTCAAGTAGGCCCTCCAACTCCGAATGAAATTCAAAAATCTTTAAATAATCTGAAACGAGGGAGAGCAGCTGGTCCAAATGGACTGGCTTCAGAGGTCTTTGAGGATGGTGGTCCAGTTTTAGCAATAAGTTGACTAATATTTTGGCAGAAATCTGGGAGATGGACATAATCCCATCTCACTGGTCGCAATCACTAATCATACCAATATATAAAAAAAGGATCGAAATCACCCTATGATAATAATAGAGGAATTAGTTTGAATAACATAGCATCTAAAATACCAGCCTCAATAATTGTCGGATGTCTCACAAATACTCGTGAACTGCAAACACGAGAAAATCAGACTGGCTTCACACATGGTCGTTAATGCACTGACCACATATTCATAATTCATCAGGTTATAGAACACAGACATGCTTATTGGCGTCCCAAAATGATAGTTTTTCTTGACTTAAAAGCAGCATTTAACTCAGTAGACCGACAGGTTCTGTTACAGTGTCAGTCATTGAAACGCTTACCTCAGATGTACATAAACCTTGTGAAAGGTCTTTACTCGAACGCTACTAGTCAAATCAGAGCTTATGGCGAAATGTCATCTGGTTTTGCAACCTGACGTGGTGTCCGTCAATAATGTCCACTATATCCGTTACTCCTTAATTTCATCATAGAGCGAGTGCTGGAAATAACATTCTCGTCGACTGCATTTTCAGGAATCAATCTCCTTCCACAACGTCCACTTATCCATCCAGAATACACAGACCACATAGTCATGTTTGGTGAACACGCTGATAAAATACAGTCTTCTGATAGCACTGAGCTACAATGTCAGGATGTTTGAGATGCGTTTCTCCCCTCCTAAATGCTAATTGTTGATTCCACACTGGCCTGCGTCAACACCTGAACTAAGGATAGGGAGTGGAATAGTCAAACACGTCGACAATTTCACTTTTCTTTGAAGTCTGATCAGTCCTAATGTGTTGATATCTGACGAAATCTCTGCACGGATTCAGAAAGCTCGTTTGGTATTTGCCAACCTACGTCACCCATGATGAAGGTGAGATATCCATCCGTCTGTCAATTAAGGGACGAGTATGCTGCGCAACAGTTCGTTCTGCGAAACGTGACCATTAAGGGTAAAAGATACTCGTAAGTCACTAGTATTTGTTCACAGATATCTTAGAAATATTGCTCACATCTGATGGATCACCAGGTAAGTAATAGTGAGCTTAGACGCAGGGTACTAGAGAATGATGGTAAATCAGTTGATGAGGTTGTAAATCTTCATCGACTGAGATGGTTGGACCACGTGTTACATATACCTGAACACCGATTACCACGACGCGCAATGCTGACTAGTGTTCGAAACGATTAAAAGAAAGTTAGGGGCGGTCAAACTAAAATGTGGCATCAGTTCACAAAGTCACCACCTTTTGGTCTGAGCCATGTTGCTAGATATAAACGACTCGGTTGGGGTCCGCGCCACTATCATAACCAATGGTTGGAAGACTGTGGATGATATGGCTGAGAATCGATCACAATGGTGTAGGTGTATACACTCTCTGTTTTCCTTTAAACTATGAGATTAAAATCGCTTCTTATCTTTCTTTCTACGAACTAATTCTCTCTTCCTGTATTATATGCTTATACACAATCTTTCTTTTATATATTACCACCACTATTGAAGTAGCTACTTCTATGAATTTGGTGTTCATTTTGTTGTGCTAATGAGACGTGGCAACTTAGACTGATGCATATATGTACCTGGTCCTGTATTGTAGTGGACTGCCGACTGACTGATTCACACTTTAAAAACGGCGTTTGCTAATCCTTCGTATCCACCATTCAGGTTCACTTTTCTTTTTTTTTTCAAATTCATGAATACCACCGTGTAAAGCTAGTGGGTAGAGCCTCTCTGGCAGAGGATATAAACGCATGTTCGTATGTAAGCGGCTCGTGTGTGCTTTCTCCAGTCTAAACCGATCCAAGGAATTTCGGGGCATCTCAGTTGCGAAGTTTCACATTTTACATAAGAATAATAAAGTTGAAATCTAACAAGTAGCTCCATATGAAGTATTGATGTTCAGTGATACACGCTTTCAGAATCTAAAATACGTTATAGATTGTGACCTAATCAGTTGTTAGTTGAATAATTTCAAATATTTTTCTTCAGTTAAATACAAGCTCTGTAAGCAAATGGAAAGAAAATCCCCCTAGTGATAAATCTAAAACGCACATGACAAACCCACCAGTCATTGATTTATGTACAATATCACAATAATACCCAATCAACTTTTAACAAATCCAACCAGTAAAAACTTGTGACCAATACTTATGTCGAATGTACTGTAAATAAATTGTCCTCCGATAGATAATAGCCACGCATATATGATGTGTAAAAATTCACACTACATACATATCAGTCGCTGAGCAAATGGTCTTCAGTACGAAATCAAAATAAAATACCGTATGTACAGAACGCTTCACAAGTGCTATTAGATCGTAACTATATGTACATGTATTGATCTCGAGATAAGTATCTAGGCTATTATTTCCCAAAGAACTCTCCCTCTATGCACACATTGTCCATTATCAGGATCATTAAATTTCAACTTGGAAAAAAATAACGGAATAAACAATCAATCAATATATGGCAAATAAAAAAAATGACTAGGTTAAAATAAACAAAATGTTATGAATAGATTAACGCTTTTCCGATATCAAACAAAACCATATTGAATCTATACGTATTATTTATAATCAGTTAGCTAAGTAGAAGGAAGACTAACCCATCGAGGAAAATAAGACATTTTGTACTACGGCTATATCGAACAGGCGTTAGTATATGTCGAGAGTTCGTACATTGAAACCAAACCATGCAAGCATTCCGAAAAACCTTAACATGAGCTTTTGACAATCATTAAAATAACAAGAACCTGAATGTAAACTAATGTGAAAGTCGCCAATACTTCGACAGAAACTCTACAAACAATCATTAGCTTATACAAAGTAAGGTAGTAGCTAACACTGGGACTGAAAATGAGCAATTCGATCTATTTAGAACTTGCCAACTAGTTCTGCTTTTGAGTTCAGGAGTGAACATGAACACTGAGGTAAGTACATCCAGCTAACGAGACTCAAACAAGTCAAAAAGCGCGTACCGGATTACACCGCTAGTCACTATCCAACTTTTCTGGAAAACCCTTATGTAGTAAAGATAATATCGTGGCAACCCGTTCAGGATACACATATAGCCAAAAGAGACTCGTCAATCGCAGTCTTTAACATCGACAACAGGAAGATTCAAACACCTACAAACAGAATGATCAACCTTCATTGAAAAAACCGGTTTGTATACAAATTTTACAAATGGTTGAACACTATTTCGATGAGTGTTACATCGAGTCAGTTGCCTATTCAATTGATTCAAATGCATAACACGAAATCGCTCCAGAAGTAGAAATGACATAGTCTACTTCAATTCCTTGTAACGAACAAAATAAAATTCGCGTTAGATTTCTGTACATGCACATTGGTCCAAAGGATAAGCAGACGGACATCCAAAAACTATGGTTTAAATTCAGTATTGAGCTGAACATTCATGTAGAAGACAAATACCTTACAAGTCAATTTGCTTGTGCAAGTACCCAAATGACCTGAAAACGATCAACACATATGACAGAAAAATGTTTATTCGCATTTAGATATAATAACAATAAGATAATAGTAATATTGAGTAGTGATAATAAAAGGAATATACGTTCACATTTGCCAGCAACTTATCATGATTAGAATGAAATAAAAACAACAAAATGAGAACCATTTAACGATTAAAAGAAGCAAAACAAAACAGAAACTTGTAAAACATGTAAATTTTGTTAACATTGTTAGAGTTGGTTATTATTACCGTTAACATGTATGTGCCATATTTATAAGCGTATATATGCACCATATTAGGTAGTAAGTAGTATCTGGTGTAGCATATATGTGCGATTGATAATGACTGCGTGTGGACATATGTACGTGTGCTGTTTGTATACCAAGAGATCAGTTAAACAGAAACAAATAATTATGATGTGCATAGAGCATACAGAAGTAGTGCTGATGATGGTCAACAGTATACAAAACAAGTTATACAAACAGGAGCATATGAGCTGGTATACATGTACAAACATTGTTACCAGAGTAGACAAAACACACAGACAAAGATGTAGATGTTGCGTAACTGGATAAAAATGGGATAAAATACGAATAAAATTTTCCACGTTTAGAGAATAAATTTCAGTATATTTAAAGGGTAGAATAAAGATTTTAAGATAACTGAGCGTACACAAGTCAGCACATCAAACACATGATCTAGAACGGACTTTAAAACAAAGCTAAAAAACATGTTAAGTGTGATATACATTGACACAACACGGCAGTTATGACTAGCAAAATTCGGACGCAGATAGGCTGTCAAGTTATGTATTATAATTGTATGTGAATGCATAAACATGTCAGTAATAACAAGAAAGAAACGAGAAACGGTTCATACAGTTGATGAAAATACATCAAACAATAGAACAGCATACATAAGAGAAATTTTAAAAAAGGCGAAAAATGACAAAAAGGATAAGCGAAGAGAGAAAATTTACTTTGATTAAAAATAAAGGCACAAAAGACCAAAAAACACGCGATAAAACAAAAAAAATAATGACCACCGGTAAATTGTACCGACTAGGACACAAAAGCACCGTTAATCATCATCATCATCAGTTGAGAAGCGATAATTGCGAAGGGAGGCAACACGAGATACACGGGGGACAAACACATGGGTATAAGACGAGTCAATTTAAGCAGAAGAGGAAAATGAGAATCAACAATGGTAAAATAATGTCATGATAACATAGTAAATAATATTAAATTGAATTAGACAAAGATAAAGTATTATATTCCAGTGGCAATTGTGATCGACCGATAATTTGCTTTAGTTAAACAGTGCCTAAAATGAACAATAGAAAAGAAAAACTTTCAAATTAATCACATACATCAACTCAGTATTAACAATCAAAATACCAGATAACAAACACGAACACTGGAATATAAATTCAGAGGAAAAAAACACTTTTCATTTCAAGTTCAGATTAGTGGGATGGCTTTTTTTATAAATAATTCAGTCAGTTATAAACAATATAGAACTTAAAAAATAAGTCCAAACTGCTATAGCATAACATGAAACATAGAGAATGTTTGAAATACTAACTGTATCAATGGTAGTAAAAAGAAATTCGGTATAGATAATATGATTCAAGAAGAATGAAAAGTAGAAAGATCGAGAAAATAAAGGGGGGAGGAAATGGTATTTGCATCTCTGCGACTGATTCTTAGCCAAGTGATCCAACATCTTCAACCATTATTTATTACAATAATTAGGCGAACCCCAACCAAGTAGTTTGGATTTATTTTATTTTTGGTGTAATGTAAAAAGTGAATATAGTTTACTTATACGCTACTCATATTCACAAGTATATACTTTGTTGGTTCTAAACATACTATTTATAAATTCACAATCGGTCTTACATTTTCAGTTTCCTGTTAACTTGGAATATGCCGATGACATAGTTCTATTTGGTTAAGACGCTGACAAAATGCAGAGTCTTCTGACCACTCTAAGCAACAATGCAAGCATGTTCAGGATTGGGTTGCATCGACACCCGAACTAATGATAGGGAGTGAAGTAGTTAAGCGTGTCGACCACTTCACTTATCTTGGAAGTCTCATCAGCCCTTGTGGTTTGGTGTGTGACGAAATCTCAGCACGGATACAGAAGGCTCGACTAGCTTTCACCAACTTGCGTCATTTATGGCATAGGCAAGATATCCGTCTATCAACCAAAGGACGTGTTTACTGTACAGCAGTTCGTTCCGTCCTACTTTATGGCAGTGAAACGTGGCCGGTAAGAGTAGAGGATATTCGTAGGTTACTAGTATTTGATCATAGGTGTCTTCGAAACATTGCTCGTATATCATGGGACCATCGAGTAAGTAACGCAGTTGTTAGGAAACGGGTAATACGTAAGGATGGCAAATCAATTGATCAAGTGGTGAAACTTCATCAGTTGAGATGGCTGGGATACGTGTTACGTATGCCCAACGACCGACTACTTCGACGTGCTATGTTCAGTGGTATAGGAGTAGGTTGGAAGAAAGCTAGGGGCGGCCAGACCAAAACATGGCACAAGTTCATGAAGTCACTGACAAGTGGACTGAGTCATGTTGGTAGGTGTAGACTACCTGGTTGGGGACCGCGAGATGATAGCAACCGATGGTTAGAGACCCTGAATGACATGGCTCAAAATCGTTTGCAATGGCGCAGGTGCATACGCTGTTTGTGTTCTCCGAAATTTTGATCTCCTGATTCCTCCTTGTCTCTTTTTTCTCTTCCCAAATTTATTTCACTGTATTATACTCTTTAAATAACATCTCCAAACCCTAATCTTCCCGATTACTGCTTATACTCTTACTACCTCTACCACTATGGGATTTGAATCGACAACTGCATCTCTGTGCTAATGTGGTGTGGCAACTCGAACTGATGTACGTACGTGCGAAGTTCTACGTTGTTACTGACTGACTTCCTGTATGAACCCAAGGGACAACACAGTAGAGTGGTTGAATAATTATCAAAGTTTAGAGGGATTCCATTGAATAGTGTCTTAAGGAATCAATATATGTAGTTGGTAAACAAAAAAATTATTAAATCTAGAAAAGGTTCCATCGACTGTAATAGACAGAGAATATTAGATCTCAATGTATGGAAAAACTATGTTGTGACCATACAAATCTTAACAATCTGCTTTTCCTAGGAAAATTTAAACAATAAACTAGATAGTAGATTACACCCCAGTATAAGCAATAAAGTGATTTAAAATTCGGCAGTGAAACATTTAGAAAACTTTTTGTGGTTTAAACCACGAACTAATATCTTAGCTAGACCATCAATGTAAACCTGAAAAACACTGGACGGTTGTCTCGTCCTAATGCAGGACTTCTTAACAGTGTGTAACCACGATCCCCAAAACCGTGAATCGGACGCAGAACATTCGGTCCAGAGTACGAACACTTGACTTCTTATTTACACCAAGCCTGTGATGAATAGATAATTGCTTCACATTCGACCATTAAATTCTCAAAGCTTGAACATCATAAACAGTGTAAGCGATGTGACAGAATTTAAATTATGTACAATTTATCACCACATATAACTTGACGATCATTTGTTTAAAGTTGTAGTTCGTTCACTGTAAATTTATGAAAATAATACCGGCAATTCAATGCTCGGAATTTAATAAAAACAAGATGCTGGGTATGAAAACAGAAAATACTTCAGAAACACCATTATCAATCGCTATAACCTAAGATACTACAACAAGAAAATTAAAGTGATTTTAAAACCACAAGTACAATTTTCTAATCCCATCAATAGTATTAAATCAATAAGGTAACATGTTGTATGAAACTGACCTGTAATACTCACCACCTCCGGTTCACCATCAGCGACAAACTTAACAACATCGTCTTTTGTAATTTTTCCATCAACCTTCTCTACTTCATGAACGGTAGTTGTAATTTTTCCACCTTCTACAAGAGTACGCTTTTCAGTAGACAGTTCAGTTGTTTTTACAACCATTGTTACATCAGTGCTGAAGAACAATAAATAACCAAGTGTTATAATATACAATTTCAGTCTAATCCAGTGAAAATTTTACATCACAAGTATAAACATATAAAGAAAATGAATACAAAACAGATTTATAATTAATTAAATAAACTTAATACTACAATTTACCCATTCAAATATTCCTTGATAGAATCCAATGTAACATCACCAATATTCTGACCATTCTCTAGTATAGTATCATTCATCTTATTCGTTGGTATAATCTCCTCTTCTACTACAGGTGCGCAACCATTTGTTTTCTCGTCAGTGGTAATATTCCCAGTACTCTGAAATAACAAATGTTAATAATTATTAGTAGACAGTGAATGTATGACGAAAAGGTAGGAAAAAGAAAATGCTTATATAATATGCAAACAATAATACCTGGAGAGGTTCAGAAACCAAGTTTGTCTGGTTGGATGTTTTTAAATTTTCATTTTCGACTGATACATCTTTACTAGCCGTTCTAGCCCATTCGGGTAAATGGATTGCAATAAAATCATCTGTTATAACATCACTAACTGGTGTTGCGAATGAATTCAACAAAGGAATAGGATTGAGTTCGGATACTAAAAGACGACATCCTATAGACCAGAAGACATGCGTGTTATACGTACGCGTGGCAACACAGGGAAGTGTAGATGAAGGTAGATAACCAGGATAACAGCGTTCTAAAAAAGGAATTTATAATAAACTTTACGTAAACCGATAGTTATGAACCTTAATTCAATAAATAAAAACTGGGAAATACGTATACGATAATCATAATATTATATCTAAACAATGGTTCAATTATATTGATTAATGATTTCAATGAAACAAAAAGGCTCTATCGTGGATGGCACAGTTTCATTAACCACTCACAAATTATGGAGATCTGTAATCCCAGTCGATATTTTCGATTATATTAAGGTAAAGGATCTTTTCAATCGCAAAATTTTCGTTGTTGTCCAACACATTATTAGTGCAAACCCCAAGTAGAAGTGAACATTTTGATTACTCCAAAAATTTTGAGTCAGCTTGTTCTGACAATATTATTTCCAACTTGTGTACAAGGGTTTTATTATCTCTATGTCATTTTGTGCCTGTTGAGTAATTTATTCTATTGACCTCTGGGTCAATTAAACCGCTCATTACCAAGTGAAGTAAGCGATGATGTTGTCCAGAACAACAATGACAACCTCGCAAGTAGACTAACTAGCTCGGAAAATACACTATAACCAAAAGGTATCAATCGATTGAGGAATCTTTGTTGACTTTTGTATTAATCACGTGAATTTACCACTGCATAAAATGTACTCAACAGAATAATTCCTTAATTTTTCTATCATTATCGTTCAGCTGATAAACATATCTAGTGAGTGAAAAAGGTGCTAACCAGTGGACTCACCCTTGAATACTTTACGAAGGTTAGGCAAAGACAGTACAGCAATCTGTCCATCTAGTAGCGTTGCAACAGCATTCCATTCGAGTTTAGCATTTTCTCCGGACCCAGAAGTAAAATTCTGAAGGCCAAACCCTGTCACACGTTTGGGATTAATCTGGCTTGTGTTCACATATACAACCTATTCATAAATAACAGTCAAAAATCATAATATTTATTGTGATACTGTTCCCAATATGGCTCCAAAACTGTTATATCTAGAGATTAGATTCTTGCTATACCGCGTAATACCTGAACATTCGACCGCTAAAACCCTCTAAATCGCAAGTGAAAAGGAATGTCATTCCAAACTGTCAAATATGGTACAAAACTCTCAAGCTTTTAGTAAAAATGAAGTCATCATTACACCCATCCAATCCGCATGCAGTGGTTTTTAGCATTTGTCCAATCAGAAAGCTACACGTCAATATTATGGAATGTTCTTCCGAGAGATGATTGGATGGGATGTTGATGAAATCTTTGGCTCAAAGCTATGCTTACTGGCCTACAATGGATCAAGATATCGAAACTAGATGCCACAATTGTTCGTCGTGCCTGAAAGCATTCGAAAGTCCAAATAAGTGTGAACCACAACAACGGAAAAGCCTAATAGTGCTTGGGAGAGGCTGCACGCAGATTTCGCAGCCCCAGTACGATGACAAACGTTTTTAGTCATAGTGAATGAACTCACGAAATGGCCACAAAACTATGCTATGGCAAACTGTATAGTCAGTGAAACAATTTAGCAAGTTATCTGAATTATTTAGCTGTTTCGGTGTCCCGGAGACTTTGGTGACTGACAACGACTCACAATTCGTTTTAGCGACATTCAAGCACTTCTGTAGCACTAATGAAATTACACATATACGTTCTCCACCCTATCACCCTCAATCAAGTGGACAGGCAGAGCTTCGTTGACACATTTAAAAGAGCATTACTGAAAGGGGGAAACGAGGGGACAAGTCAGGTAATTATGTAATTCTTAACAGCTTATAGAACTACGTTCCATCCTATTGTCCCAGATGGGAAGTCCCCTTTCGAAGCTATGTTCGGAAGAAGAATTCGAAGTCGACCAATAAACATTTGATGACGCCACAAAGGTCCGAGTACTACTACGCAAATTTGGCATAGCTGAACATGAACGATACACTAATTTAATTATTCCAAGAATGTGAGAGACCTTTCAGTTGATGTGGCGGACGTAATTTTGTAGCAAATCTTTGGTGAACAGTCATCTTTGTTTGATATTCGTTACCAAGTTAGCAAAAGCTGGAAACGATGAGCGGGTGAGACAAGCTAGCATAGTAAATCACGTGTGAGTGTTTTGAATTATCGATAATGGCAGAAGACCAGTTTAAGCATCTTGCGTTTGTATGTAGTCCCCAATCTCCTGAAGATGCTGATATCAAAGTCCGAATTTTGAGTCAAATTGAAGTGTCCAAACATAGCTTCAGCAGGGGACTTTCCATATGAGACAATAGGGTTTGGCGTGGTTTAATAAGCTGTTAAGAATTTTGTAATTTTCTGACTTTTCTTCGACTCTTCCTGAGCTTCCTTGAGTTCACTCGGGTGCCGTCCTCACAAAAACCAATGCATTAACTTATGTACCCGGTAAGAGTTACATGAAATCACAAATCAGAAAATAGAATAAAGCAATAAATAATATGGACTATTGTGTACGAGGTCACGAAAATGAAGGAAATATTTACCTCGCTCTCGCCAACAACTGTATCTGCTGCCTCTTCAACCACTTCCTTCTCTGGTTTAGAAGTTGAACCGGCACCAGAAGTCACTGACATACCAAGCATACGAAGGCGATCAATAAATTTATGCTTATAAATTGGACGAAGTGAAGGTATACTGAACAATTTAACTTGTTCCTCAGAGCACAAAAGTAATTGATGCACATCCTGTGTGGCTGATGTTGATTGAATAGGTATTTCAGTATCTTTACCACCATCCATCGAAACTTCAGCAGGAGGTTCTGACGGTTGAGCAGATTCTTGTTTCTCGTTACTTTCAACTGATTCGACACACGAATTCCTTAATAGAAATTGAAAATAGAAAATTATTAAAATTGGACGAAAATGGTAAAGCAGTGCAGATAACAAGAAATCTAACAGTAGAAATAATAGAAACAGCTACTGAGTACACTGTACATACCTGTAAGCTTGGCTATGCATAATTGGTCCATGATCAACTGCATCGATGATATACAAAGAAACAATCGGAGAGTGATGATGCAATTGTAATTCCTTGGACAATGTCGCCTTAACGGGTCCAGCAGTACCTCTCCATGACAAATTAAAAGCCAACACTTTACCTGAAGCTGTACCAACCCAGACAGAAGGAGCACGGTCTCCCACTTGAACATACGTCTCAGAAAACAGGAGACAACGAACAGCTGATGATACTATATCCTCTTGGCTCAATTGAATAGGTTCAGGAGGAACATCAACCTCAGCATTATCCGTTATTGATTGTTGTTTCGGTTCTTCAGATTCTACAGAAGTTGTTGGTTGCTCTGTTACTCCTACAGCTTCAACATTTTCTTGGATTTCTTTTTTTTCACTTGGTTCAACAGGCTGATCTTGTTCTTTAATTTCATCTGTGAAACAATTGATAAGAATTGTAACATTTCAGTGAAGTATGCGCTTACATGGAACTGAAAATGCTTAAAGTTTGTGAAGTAAAATAATGATGAAAAGATTAACAGACTGTAAGAAACAGTACAATTATGTATGCATGATCAGGAATATCTACACAGATTAAGGTATACTAACGCAATGAATAACTACAAATAAAGTACCAAAGAAGAGTATTCACACAAACCCGACCGTTGCTGCTACCTTGACGTAGTGGTCGGGCATGCCTATCCTGATGAACAATCAAGTTATACTGGCTCAAACAATCGTTCCTCAAGGTTCTACCATGACAGGTAGGGCGGTTGAAAAGAAGTAAAACTAAAAGCAGCAAACTCAAGGTCCGAGGGCGAAGTCGTACTGTTGACAGTACACATGTGTGACGGCAGTAAGGTGTTTCCTTCAGACAACCAGCATAACAGCGCTGCCGCCTTTCCACAAGGAAGAGTGGAGTTAGAAAATGTCTACCCTAAAAATGCACATCTCGCCTTATCCCATGGATTTCCGTCTCCGGTGGTAATGTCTCAACAAGTATTGAGCTAATACAAAAACTGCTCGCAAAAAGTTTGTGTGAGACCGAAACCAAGCAGTTGTGTTTTGGGCACTGCGGTCACAATCTCAGGTCAATAAGACCACCTCTAATCCGATTTCCTTTCCAGATACCTCCAGAAGAACCCTTCCAGGGTGTGAGCAACCGGGAAACGGTAACCGCCCTAATATCACTAACATCACTCAATATTACTGTATTCATAATCAATAACCGTCTTCAATACCTATTATTCCTCTTACCTCGACTCTCAACTCTAAACATCCTCCTCGTCAAGTGTCACCATGACCAACGATTCCAGTGCGCGAAACACCGTCCCATATCTACTGAAACCCCGCTTCGAACCGAACATTGGAGGCTTCCATGTACGCACCCTGTTATCTGGTTTTGCAACCTCACGTGGTGTCCGTCAATAATGTCCACTATATCCGTTACTCCTTAATTTCATCATAGAGCGAGTGCTGGAAATAACATTCTCGTCGACTGCATTTTCAGGAATTAATCTCCTTCCACAACGTCCACTTATCCATTCAGAATACACAGACCACATAGTCATGTTTGGTGAACACGCTGATAAAATACAGTCTTCTGATAGCACTGAGCTACAATGTCAGGATGTTTGAGATGCGTTTCTCCCCTCCTAAATGCTAATTGTTGATTCCACACTGGCCTGCGTCAACACCTGAACTAAGGATAGGGAGTGGAATAGTCAAACACGTCGACAATTTCACTTTTCTTTGAAGTCTGATCAGTCCTAATGTGTTGATATCTGACGAAATCTCTGCACGGATTCAGAAAGCTCGTTTGGTATTTGCCAACCTACGTCACCCATGATGAAGGTGAGATATCCATCCGTCTGTCAATTAAGGGACGAGTATGCTGCGCAACAGTTCGTTCTGCGAAACGTGACCATTAAGGGTAAAAGATACTCGTAAGTCACTAGTATTTGTTCACAGATATCTTAGAAATATTGCTCACATCTGATGGATCACCAGGTAAGTAATAGTGAGCTTAGACGCAGGGTACTAGAGAATGATGGTAAATCAGTTGATGAGGTTGTAAATCTTCATCGACTGAGATGGTTGGACCACGTGTTACATATACCTGAACACCGATTACCACGACGCGCAATGCTGACTAGTGTTCGAAACGATTAAAAGAAAGTTAGGGGCGGTCAAACTAAAATGTGGCATCAGTTCACAAAGTCACCACCTTTTGGTCTGAGCCATGTTGCTAGATATAAACGACTCGGTTGGGGTCCGCGCCACTATCATAACCAATGGTTGGAAGACTGTGGATGATATGGCTGAGAATCGATCACAATGGTGTAGGTGTATACACTCTCTGTTTTCCTTTAAACTATGAGATTAAAATCGCTTCTTATCTTTCTTTCTACGAACTAATTCTCTCTTCCTGTATTATATGCTTATACACAATCTTTCTTTTATATATTACCACCACTATTGAAGTAGCTACTTCTATGAATTTGGTGTTCATTTTGTTGTGCTAATGAGACGTGGCAACTTAGACTGATGCATATATGTACCTGGTCCTGTATTGTAATGGACTGCCGACTGATTCACACTTTAAAAACGACGTTTGCTAATCAGAAATTAAGTCTAGAAATCCTACTTACGGTAACACTTAAGCGTAGCTGCGGCAGCATCCTAATGAAGATTATAACTGACCTGAATGCACTGGAAAATTGTTTTGCCGTAGTTGTTATCGTTATTTTTAACGTAATTTCCTAGAAGAAATTAGTGTATTTGGCTTTGGAGCGCACTCCAAGCTAATGATTTTAACAGGTCGACCAAAACGAAGTAGATGGAGGTCTAGATCTGTGATTAAGTTTTTAAGAGTCAAACGCTTAAACAAATCAACTACCACTAACTTTTGCTGAGAAAAAAATCATGGCATACATACTTCTTATTTTGTGCAGTTAGATGTGAAAATAGTCACAATGACAGCATTTAAAAACTACGTTATACAATAGTCAGGACATACCTTTAGGTGAGGTTTCATCAAGACTCTTTTCGGTTTGTTGCGGCGTTGTTTGATTTTCATCAGCTGGTGCAGTAGGTTCGCTAGAAGTTTTCTCAGAGCTCGCTGTTGAAGTACGAAAGTGTTTTAGACGTCTAAATGATTGTCTCATTGTTGATGTAAGCTGTCTTCCTCGCGCCATTATCACATTTTGTACAGCTGAAAATAAACATGAATAAAATAGGAGCTAACAAGTAACAATTATTTGACATCAAACATATCACACAAACCATTGGATCACAGTACGATTAACTTACTAGCAACAGCATTAACAATCTTTGCAGGACCTGATGAATCGTAAGTGAAATGAGTATGGGTTATAGAACGATCAAATAAGTCTAACAAAGCAAATCCGTGTGAAGAACCGATGGCCAATAAATTCCAAGACAACTCCAATGCAAGAGATGTAATCTGGCTAGGAGGATTTAATTGAATAAGTTGACATGGATGAAATGTTAGTCCAGTTGGTGTGCAATAATGAGGGACACCTTCGGTAGGCTAGAAATTAAAAAGAAAAATAAATCATACAAGTGGTTGTGATCAGCACACAATAACATGTGATTAGTTCAGATTAAATAAATATACAATTGTAGGACTAGACAAATGTACTACACTCAGTGAGTAACTGACTAGCGCCTTTGTAAGCAATAAAAATAAAGGTATTCGTACACAAGACACTAACATGAAAGTGAGTAAATGACAATTTAATTGAGAACAATCGTAAAGGATGCTTCCAAAATTAAAGATCGCATAGGTCATCAAATTTGCAAAACAATGTTGTATCATTCGACAGGTATAAAAAGAATATCAATGTATTGGATAAATGATAAAAATCATATTTACGGAGTTGGGGTGGTTACGTGTTAGTTCTATTTTACCCAACACACTAGCATAGAAATTTAGAACGGTAAAAATGTTGTACTAAATTAAGTTATCACAATCAGGAAAATTGTTGTAAAGAAACCTCAACACATCGATAAAACGTTGAACAGAAACATGCACAACAGGATTAATTGTGATGTAATACGATAAATTAAGAGGTTGAAAAACACGAACCGATAAAATTCAAATCAGTGGTAAGATTGGTACTGAGCTCGACGTGATATGAATATCTTGAATTTAAACCTATGCAGAATTGCCAATCCCAAATACGAACAGAAACAACTGTCCAGTACACTCTACTTTATTGGTTCATATTGATCGGTGTATTTTTCGATGAACCAGTAACAAGATTTAGAAAACCATTTAATGGTTTATTTAAATTTAACCCTGGTGTTCAATTTACGACAGCATCCGATGATTTGAAAAGGAACGAAGTGTCTATTTTCATTGCCATTGGAATAATAGATTGTACATATGGAAATACATTGAAGGAGAAATATTCAAAGTGTACCTCTTGTCCTAAACATCCATGGGAAGATTTAAGCATACAATACCAAGTGAATATTAATAATAATAAAGAAACCATTTACTACTAGTAATAATTTTTTACCTCATCAAGCTATGAGCACAAGGAAAGTATTAATCAATAGCTCGAGGGGTCATAAATTTTAGGAAAACTTGTGCATATTTGGTGTAAGATGGATTATTCAAAGTATTAACTTTCATTCAAAAAAGGTAAATTTTACATTAGTTAATAAATTGTATTAACTCTACACAATAATTCACCTAGTCATAATTCCACAATAAATATAAGCTTTTGATAAAGAAAATGAGCTCGGATTTTTTATCATCTCAACCACTTGAATACAAACAAACGTAACCCTTTGGAGTTTTACAAGTTCATAGTATGAAATGACCAGTAGGGCAAAATTGCAGATCATTTAGTGGATCTAAACAAATATCCACTTACATTAAACACTGGCATACAACAGAAAAATGAAGTGAACTACTTACTCGAAGAGATAAAGCATCTTTCCAAATATATTTATTCTCATCTGAATGATCAATGAGGTTAACACATATTCTGAATACATCAGGCTCAAAAGAACTAAGTTCCGGTGAATGCAAAAATCCTTCTGAACCGGCGACCCATAGGCTCACTTGACCACCAGCACCACCCACAACGAGTGTCAATGTATCCGGTGCAATTGAACCGCTAACACCTGATCGAATTGGACTTCCCAGTAAAACAAGTAACTGTGTAATAGCCAAGCGTGGATCACAATTCTCGACAGATTGACGTTGTGCTCGAGAACAATAACCAACTGGACGAAAAGGTGGCCACGTTTCTTCCTCCAATATCGAGTTCCCACACTTCTGAAAATTAAAATAAAATTTCAGTAATCATTTTGTAAATGTAACAGTAATAACGTTACTGTTAGCAATGTAAAATGTTAACGACTAGGAATGTTTAACTTTTGTTAATGAATAGTCATAAAAGCATCAAACGACCAACAATTTACATTCTGATTATCGGAGCTCTCATTGACAGTAGGCTGTCGTTATGATAAGTTCCAAGTTAACAGCATTTTAGCAAATCTTTGTGTATACAAAGTTTCAAAACCAACTTAGTATATTAAGCTTAAATTAACAAAATGCATAGCAAAACATTCGAAATAAATGATAATAAGATCAAACATTATATGGTTCTCAAGGAAACAATAAAAAGATGTCTGTGAAGGAATACTGAAACTCAATACAGGGAAAGATAAAAAGTGAATGCATTTGCATCACTGTGACCGGTTCTGAACCATCTTACCCGTTTCCAAATACTGACCACGGCTAACGTGTAATTTGGATTTACAACACAACTTAGTTACGTAATGAAGGATTTTATAAACTAGAACTATGTCTGAATTTAACTGCCCTTAACTTCCTCCCAACTTACTCCAATTTTAGTCAACATTGCGAATCGAGGTAGGTGGCGGTTTGGCATAGGTAACACATGTCTCGATCATTTAACTCCATTAAGATTCACAACCTAACCAACCTATTCATTATCTTTATTTAGCACTCCTCACTTCATTATCCCATTATACGTGAGTAATGCTCCGAAATCATTTGTGATCAATTAGCTAATCCCATCCTGGCTAGTTTCATGGCTATAAATGAGGAACACTCCAGAACTATCTTCTGGAGTTAACTAGACTCATTCGAAAAATTATGATGTAGTTAAAACATGTACAACAAAACTGAATACATTGATTTGCTTGGAATTCGCAACTCATAACTAGCTGAACAATCAAAATACACATTAAGGTAAGTAATTCATAGTCTCCTAATTAACATGCTCACTAGAACACAATCTTTGATTTGTTTTTCAGAAATCGCAGAAGCATATGATCCTGAAAAGCCGTAAGAAAAGATGAAACGATGTCTGTACACATTTCTTATAACTTTGGACAAATTAATTGTTAATAATTCGATAGGAACATGCTGGTTTTAAAGAATTTTGACTAATCGTAAAATAATTATGGTTGGAATGGGGAGCGAACTAGTATATACTAAGTTTTGTAATGAAAGAAAATCATAAGAACTGTAGGTATTGATTGACTGCCTACCTGACCATTTTGCAAATCAGTTAAATTAAACAAAGATGAAGTTGGTAAAGTTCCCAGATGAATTGTAGTATCTCCTCGACCAACTGCCCATAAAGTAACCCATCCATTTGAATGTCCAAGGACGATAACGTCATTTCCAGAATTTTGTGCAAAATTTTTCGTGTTACCATTATGAGACCCGCCCCATATTGGCCATGAACAGTTGGTAATATCATCTGAAGTTATCTGAGCAGCTTGGTGTAGCCGATGGATTAGAGCTGGTGGAACCTAGATAAGCAAATACAATTTTCAGAAAATCATACTACTACTAAGTACAAGTAATGTATGAAACTACCAATAAAACCATGCTAATTAACCACACTAACTACATAGCTCTTCAGATAGCACAATTGTTTTGATTCCTGAATTGAATATTCTACATAGATTTAAGTACTGCATAAATAATAAAGCATAGACTAGTACAACAATGCGTATGAGATCTGATACAATATATGGATATTTTGTCAAAGCTGTCAAAATACATATAATACATAGTGTCACCACCAAAAGAACAATGTCATTGAAATGTATCATATGAAAACTGTTATCCAATCATTTAAAAACTGATGCATTGTATTCACCGGCACAATTAACCAACTTATTTCAATCTGCACGTAGCAAAATTTCGATGAAATATTATCACATCCAAATCAATTAGAAGGCATTCACATTTGGTATTTAATGTTATGAATTTTGACTGAACAAACAACCAACTTGCATTTTAGAGAATTAATATATAGTTGAGATAATATAAGCTAATCTGCCTCATGAAATTTTAAAAATATGTCAATCTACATACGACTAGAATGTACTGGGAAAAACGGGACAATAACAAAATATCAAAACAAACCTGTCCTATGTGAGTTATAGCTGTAACCGGAGTGAAATCCATACAATTAAGATATGGTGAATCGTAGACAGGCCAATCGGGTTGAGTTAAATCAATCGCAACAAGTTCACGTTCAGTAAGCACTAATAATGTAGCAGAATAACTAGGTGGACAAGGTTTAGTCACAACTTCACCTGAAACCGTTTCATCTGGAAGGAATGGAAAAAAACAAGAAAAAATGAATGTGGAATTTTTAAAAAGAAATCAAATAATGTCTAGCTGTAGCCAAGTTATCTTTGACTTACACTTAATATGTAAAATATTTATTGTGAAAAGCCTATATTACAAGATAGTATTAAATGTTACTCATTATTAATATGGACTATCACAAAATCAAGATGGTGTACGTATGATTCTACAATGATTTTGTAATAGGATGATTTAGGACGCAAAAATCTCTTAAAAAAGACGAAGAACCTTACTTGATACACTTCCTTCACTCGGTACAAGTACAAAATCAATAACCTTTGATCCAAACTGATAACAAACATGATGTTCATGATCTTGTAAGACAGACACTGCATAACGATTCTCAAATTGGGGACGTGGTAAACCTCCACAAAACACTGTTAGTAAACCGGCACTAATTGGAAATATAAAAATAGAAAGTAATGGAAAATTGATTTAGCTAACAATAGGATAGAACTATAAACCAATTTTTATAGTCCACACTACATAAAATGAGTATAAAATTGGAAAGATTCGCAACCTCCGTCAAAAACACAACAGTGCTGTTACAGATATGAAGGGAGTTGTCACTACTCGTCTGCTCACGCTGTGGGAGGATACACCTCGAAGGATCTAAAAGAGAAGACTGGGTTACGGATGGTCTTGACGACCTGGGAGTGTGATCAGTCTAGAGGACAAATGCTTGAGACCGGATACATATGGTCTTTCCGTAAGTAATTGCTTCTAATCATATTCCTCTCCAGTAGACCTCCATGGCATAGTAGTAGCGAGACTGTAAAGCAAATGTTTCCGTTAATATAGCTCCATTGAGTTATCACAATACACAAGCCCCACTACTACACAAAGGAAGAGGCTATAATCGAACACGCAATAGCGATGTGGAATGTTGGCCAAGCTCTAATCACAGTGAAATAAATAACTGCGAAATGGAGAAGACGCATAATATAAACCGACTGATTACTCCCATTTTGACCTTTTGGATATTTTATATCACTGGCTAACTGAATGGAGCAGGCATAAAACACCTAATATGACAGTTATAATAAACGAGGAGGCAAAAATCTATCCTTTCCAGTTAAATAAACTATGAAAATATGAATAAAAAACTATCATGAAAATCAATTCAAAATTCTTTACACTTTGTATAGGATAGACAAACGTTTGGTCACTCACAATTTGAATACCTGTATAAATATAGAAAACAAATCTATAAGCAAACCCGAGTGGTTTTTGCGGGATGACTTACACTATATACCTATATTAGTCAAGTGACTATCAGCCACATAAACAATTAATCTATTGACAAGATTGTACTGTGAGCACATGTTCAAATTAAAAGCACCACATGATATTCCACTGATTGAATATAGCCTTCCCTAAGAGGTGAATTGACAGTACTTTGTCAGTATTAGACAAATTACTACCAGTAAATAGAAATTTTTAGACTCAATGAGCCATGACTTTAAAACATGTCGAAAAGTGGCTTGGTGATTAAGGCGCTCAACTTTCGGCCTCTGGGTCTCAGGTTCGAACCCCACTCCACCTACCAACCAGGTAGTATCATGGGCTTCATGAAAATGTACTTGGTAGTAAGTTTATTCTGATGCTTAGCTGATACTGAGCGGCATGTTATGGGTTGAAAATAATTTATTAAATTTACATTTTTGTGTATACACCGCTAATCGGGGTTTCCAAGTTGTCCTAAAGGGTCATTAGTTTCCATTAGCAATGTTATCAAATCAGATGAAAAACCAGGTATAATCAAATGACTGGAGCTAAGACAAAGTCGTGCAGATTGAATCCAATTTCGCATTGGGAAGATATGAAACCCATGTGAAGCTATCACATTAAAATCAGGAAAATGGAGTGCAGGAACAAAAGCATATCCACCTTTTATCCTTTTACCAGTTGTTATGAAGAGTTCATAAGAATTAGTTCTATTTTATACACGTATCTTTATTCAAGACAATTTTTTCATAATTCTAATAGCCTATGGTTTATACCTTTTAGGGATATAAAACACGACTTGAATTGCGGTGCTTACATATTGGAAAAAAGTTGGAAAAGTGTTTAACTTACTTTGCAGATGGACTTATCAATATTTTATTTATTGCGCCACAAGGTAAAGGACCTTTAGAAAAAGACAGAATATTGATACGAAATCATTCAAGGACTCTCAAGTTAATAACATGGTACAGTTGATTAAAAGTCCTAGAACGAAATATTACTGTAGTACATAAGAATCATGTCATGAGAGTCGACAATATCCTCTCCACTACACAACTTCTTTTAAGGAACTGGGAAAGATTTTAGCTAAATGTATATGATTCCAATTATCAACCGCACCATCAAGCCGTCAGTGTAAGAGCTGAACATAATACATGAAAAACGAATAGTAAAAAATAGTCTATAATGTGGCGCTTGAGAAACAGTAACGTGATAAACGGACAACTGAAGACTAAATGATGAGTCCAAAATACAAAACGTGCAACCAATTACATCTCAGTACATTTCTGACCATTAAATTGTAAATGGTGCTAAGTGATATGGTCCTATGAATAATTGCAGGCTCTGAATACAAGGAACTGAGATAGATGTCAAAATAAGCCCTCATAAAAAAACGTAGTTAGTGTGGATTATTTTCAGAAAACTATGCATCGTAATTAGCATACTCAAATCGATAGTAACGGTTAAAAATTAGGGATTTATGAAAACCGTGGACATAATAGTGCTATCGACAGAAAACAATGAAGACAAAAATGGTAAGAGCGTCATTGTTGCGTGAGTGTGATACACGACATGAATTCTTTTCGTAGAAATCAACATCTGAATAAGAGGGGGAATAGTTTACGGGACTGAGGATTTGCTTGATACTAGGCACTTAGTTCTTGAAAGTGAAGATTTTGGTTAACTTTTCAAAAAAGTGAAGAGTTTTATGGTAAGGAGGGTTAGATTGTTTTTATGTATAATCCCCCATTACTCTCTTCTTGGTTAGTGGAAAACCAGCAGACTGTGTACCCCAAACTACTAATGGAGAAATCCTACCGCCATAACATATTGGTTAAGTAATAAAGCTTTAATCGTGAATTTTACCACAATGTGGATTATCGACATGATTAACATTGCCTTCGAACTTTTAAACCCTTAGCTCTGACGTAAAATAATTGGTAATAAAAACTTACCATATGGAGTGTTTGGTGGATCTATCATTGATACAATGATTGGCTCAAACGGTTGATCACTAACAGCTGCAACAATAGGCCAAACCTGAAATGCACCATCACCATAAGCAACTACAACTTCAGTAGATAAAGAGTCCACGGATGTAACACGCCATGAGGCCCATTCAACTGGTTGGTCGCGAAGCAGTAAATGACTGATACGAGGAGCTGGAGGTACAGGTAATGATGGTTCTTCTTTCTGCAATAGCAAGTCAGTAGTAAATAAGTAAAATCATTCACATCGAATGACAATAAAGAATATTTTAACAGGAAGCAAATCTTTAGCATTGATGGTTTCTTAAGGACACACTAAATGAGCATATACAAGGTAAAAACATGGATTTCACATTCCACAAAGAATCAAGTAATGTAGAAGTTAGTGTCAAATTACGACTACCCTACAATGGAATTTACTATTGGTCATCAAGCTCTTTTAGAGGTCACCAATAAACACTAAACACTCGCCCCAAAATGACAAATACAGTGCATTGTTAAACCTAGCTCTTTGAACGGTCCTGGATCGTGATAAAACCAAACCAAGCAATCATTTCTCTAAATCTAACAAGTAAAAATCATTTTAATGTAAACGAACGAACAAAAACGTGAAGCAGATGTAAATACTGACCATCAGTCTACTTTTACAGTAGTAGTAGGTAGAGAGTGCCTGAGAATACATAACGCGTATCTCGATCATCGCAACTAATAGAAGTGTGAGCAAAAGTGATTTTAGAAAAGACTGGCTTAGACCCAATTTCGGACACTAACTAAACATATTTGAAATCTAAATAAACAAAACATTGAAGAAACTTGCCTCTGCTTTAGACGCATCAGGTCTCAAACTACGTGTCAACGCCTTAAACTTTAGGGTTGATCGCTTCTCCGAATGTCCCTTAGCAGGAGTACTAGGAGTTGACTCGACAGCACTGTCGTTTGAAACTTGCTGAGACTTCTCTCCATTTACTTCAGTTTTGTCACCTGACGTTGCTTCACCCTGAGTTTCTTGGGGAATAGTTGGAGCCAACTCATCAACAACATTTGGAGTAACAACTTCCCCCTGAGCTGTAGGAGCAGTGACAACATCCGCCGGAGCAGCTGGTTGTGTAACGCTTTCTGATGGAATAGGCTGAGGAATAGCCACTGCTACACAGCCCCCTGCGTATGCGATCAGTAGATGATTACCTTGAGGTTGTAATTCAAGGGATATAATGGGAGAGTCTACCCCAAGTTGATCTCGCTTGTCTGCGGGGACACTAAAACACAAAACATACCAAATTATAGGAATCCTACATTCAAATCACACTATAAATAATAAAATCTGAGCTATTTAGGCAAGCTTGAAAACCTGATCCTAATTAGTTCATAATAAATAGCTATAGGATCTTATCAGACGACGACAGACCAAAATCTATTCTGTTGGGCTGAAAGTCTACACGTTGGTAGTATATACAGAAGGTGGATTAGGTATGTTTACCTACACAATCACAATGGCATACATATTTCCAACCTACATGAAAGGTTAATGTCAAATGGTTGCTGACGTCTCGTAATGAGTAAGATTAATCCTCGAAGCGATGTAAGGGAGTGAGCATTCCTCTTACAACTAATCGGTTAGGATTCAAACTTAGTTACTTTTTAAACTGGCTCGACCATGGATTGAGAAACTGACACAGTGGAGTCGGATTAACTGAGAAAGAGTAATCGTGTGCAAAAATCACACTAAAATCTCCAAACAAACAAAAAAGTAGCATACAACGAATCCTAGTAACATTGGTGATAGGAATACGCTTAAAGAATAATATGACCTCTTCACATACTGGTTTTGATTAACTACAAATTTGATTCAGTCAGTCAGTCAGTAACAACGTAGAACTTCGTACGTACGTACATCAGTTCGAGTTGCCACACCACATTAGCACAGAGATGCAGTTGTCGATTCAAATCCCGTAGTGGTAGAGGTAATAAGAGTATAAGCAGTAATCGGGGAGATTAGGGTTTGGAGATGTTATTTAAAGAGCATAATACAGTGAAATAAATTTGGAAAGAGGAAAAAAGGGACATGAAGAATTTGATTAACTATACTTGGAGACATCAATATTAATATTTTAAGCTAAAAAGTATTCACAGATGTCAGCCTACAGCAAATTAAGAATAGTTACCAATAACAATACATGGAAACACTAAAGGAATTACCTGTCGCTGATAATTGAACTTGTACATGCAGTGAGTGAATCATCTCCCAGTGTCATATGACCATTTTTAACCGCAACTTGACGCAGTGTACCGTTTGCAGAACCAATGTAAATAACACCATGACCAAGACAAATACATGTAATAAGATCTTGTTCACCGCTGTGAATGTAAATAAGTACAAATTATTTTATCAATGTAAGTATTCAATATATTGTTATGCACAGGTACATATTTTCACTCAAACAAAACAAACATAAGTTGGAGTCTTTTTTGATAATTCTGAAGGCGATTCACGTGAAAACCGACAAGTACGTCCTACTGTGAAGTACACTAACGACAGGACGAGAGACCATACAATACGATTGTGGATAGCACCAGAAAAATAATATGCCGTCTTTCCTAACTTTCAGTCGAAATTATATTCGACAAAATATAAGGGAAGTATTACACCGACAAAGCTAACAAATTAACGTCCTGACAAGGTAAATTCTCGTTAGAACCAACTGTCAGCAGATACAGATCAAAGGTCAATACGATTTGACATTTTGCTAATACGTTAGCCAAACTACATACTGAAAACTCACTCATTTTCACATTCGTATATATTAGAAAGTGAAGGTACTGTACGACACAACCCGTGAAAAATAACAGCTGAAAAAATGAGAATTTTAGCCACACGAATCTCTACACCAAACTCTATTTTAAAGCTGGACACGGTGAGATAGGACGATGATTGTGTCTAGGTTCCCAAGTAACCAACATGACAAATCGAATTTTTTAATTACTATTGCATCCCAGTGGAAAGCACGAACTCAGTTGTAAACGGATGTCAAGTGACTTGGATTCCCTGCCAGATTGGTTTATACGAAATGCCTAATTCTTTTAACAAGACCAATGAGCTCCCCATGAACAACTTTGTGAAGTAATATCCATCAAAATAAACTTCAGGTCATTGGAACAAGTCTTACTAAGCAAAATGTACGCGGATTTCGGGAGTAAAAAGCGGTGCATTTTACTTAGAAAAGACATTTAGCGATCTAATGTCTTACTGTTTTTGAGATGCACAGATTACCTTGTTCGGCTGCCGTGTCTGCGAGTGAAGTTTTAGGCAAAAGCATGAATCCATCCAAATGAGGTTGACGTTTAGCATAAACCTAACAGCTATATCCCCATTTGTTAAAAGAAACGAAATTTCCTATTGGTTAACTTACGTTTGCTGAACTTTCACTTGGCTAGTTGGTGACCATCGTCCACATCTAGAATCTAGTTCAAAAAGATCTAACGTTCCGTCAGTCGAAGCGCAAACAATCCGCCCCTATAAGGTATGACATCAGTGTAAAGAGGACCTACTTCACCTGGTAAAAACAAAAGAGAAATGATCGGAGAACCCTCTCGTTGGACAGTGAAAACAATGCCCGGTGAGCCATATCTAGGAATGTGAGATGAGTTCGTCGAAACCTACATTTTTAATACCCCTTTACTTGTTCCTACAGCTAATAAGCCAAGAATTTCGTCGAAAGCCAAAGCGCTTGGAGACTCCAGACATCCGTAAGCAGACGACTATCGCAAATAATGTTGGAAAAAAAACTCACCTGGTGACAGGAGTAACTATCGGTATGTTTCCCAAGTGTGTAATCATGAATTCGCTTAACAATTTCAAGATTTTGCAATTGATGGGGCAATTTTCTGAATGGTTCCAAGAGCCTCTGTGCCATTTGTGGAAACAGAGGACAGCAACACCGAAATGACTAATTCAAATTTCAAACAAGGATCCGGGCACCTATTAAATTGATGCAGCTAATCAAATATGGTGAAAATGCCAGAAGAAAAAAATGGATTGTAATAACTTATTTGTAATTAAATCTGGATAAAATAATTCAGGATTGATCGATATTTAACGACTGGTGTGGGCAGGATTAGTTTAGTTAATTCAAGAGTTCTGCATATAAACCGGCAATCCTGGAACTAAGTCCCGCAGTCTACTGGCATTAGTGACTAGGCATGCTCATCCATCAAAATCTAAACTATTCAACCTGAACTTACCCTTCTACGACGTGATCAGCAAAAGTCACAATGTATGGTGTCCCTCCGTATATAAAATGGTCCGAAATATGTTTTTAGGCTCATGAGACTGATTACAGCTGAGCTTTATGATTCCATCTCGTGAATTAATCCTTGAAAGTCTGATATTTTTGTCGTTTCCCTTCGTACCTTGATCTACGTAACCACGATTTCACTCAAATACATAAGGTTCTGTAACGTTGTGCAATGGAGAACCCTTTCGTACATATGACGGGCATAGTTCCACCTCCTTACTAATGTTTCACTGCTCCACTGTAACCGATCTGTACTGTTTACTGCCTGTAGAACAATCGGGTTCAGCACTGACCAAAACTGAAATGAAATATTTTGTTCATTTGTGTGAGGTAAATCAAGAGGCGCTCTTGAAAGCGCCCAATTCTTATCGCATCAGGGACAATCTCTCGTCAACCTACTGATTATTCCTCATGAATTTCGAGATAGGTAAAAAAAAGTCAGACTTCACCAGAGAGGTACACCTAAATCCGTCTCCTTTGACAGAGTCCAACTGTATGCGACTTCACACAATGAAACCAAAGACATCTGAAAGTTGTTTATACAAAAGGTAGGATCATCAACATGAGATATAAACAGCCCAGGAATTTCAGTGTTGCTTTGGTGACATCTAATGCAACATTACAGAACATTGTGAGTAATATTCCTATAAGCTTCTTACAATAGAAATGACTATTTGGAACCTATGACTATGATGATGTCCATTCTGAAAATTCATTGTAGTAGTTCAACCATCGTTCAGATTACGTCACTGGAAGTACTAAATATTCAAACGAAGATACTTATTGGGAAAAATGCAGTTTTCAGAATACTCCAATATGCCTATCTCAAATGATCGTCGAATCAGACGACCATATCAAATTTATTTCATTCACACATCTGGCACTACTGTTTATATATCAGTGAATTTATTGGAACTTCGTTGAGGCTGGGAGGATCCTATCATCCAACGTATATATGTAACTTAATGCAGTTGGTAAGCAATCACTACGCTCGCTGTCTAATATGAAGGTGATCCACATCCAGGTACCATTGAATCTAAGTAGTTTTGACACTCAGCTCAGCCACTACTAGTGAGTTGATTAAATGATCATAGACGATGAAAATATACGAATGCCCGATGAAAAAATACAACTGATAAGTTGTATGGTGTGTTGCAAATAATGATGATAAATAAAACTGTAGTGTCAATTTCAAATCGCATTCTCCGTGAGTGGGAATAGTTAACCAGTGTTCCAGAAGAAGGATAGTAAACCACGGATATATACATGGTCATCCAATTTCCTCTCTAGAATTCGCTTAAATGTAGAGAAGAACCATAACAGATCGTTTTGTGTATATGTTTGCATGTAATTTCGACTATTTCGAATCAATATTCCGTTGAATTTTCGGCCTTCGATGAGGCTTTTATAATTCTGTAGCGGTAAATAAATCCGCAAAATAAATAGCACTAAGTTTTCGACATTGGATGCTGACCATATGTTTTAGTGGTCAGGCATCTGCACCAGATCACGTGTGGTAACGCCGTGCTCAACATCAACCACAATCGCTAGCCAGTTTAGATCAGAGAATTCCGATATATTGGTCATCGCCAAATATACTCTTCCAATCTCCTCGACTCTGTCTTTTGATTTCTCTGAGCGGGAACGAAATATCTTAGAAGGTGTTACTGGTAGAAGCGTTGTCAAACACTGAATACCTGTGACATCATCAATTCGCTTTGTTTTCAATTTTGGTTTTTTTGAAGTTTTACCTAGATGTGCGATTTTAATAACCACATAAATTGAGTATCGATTGACCTCTTACTTGGACAGATGTTTCGTGGTTTTCTCTGATCTGTTTTATGATTTTTGGACTGTTTACTTTGATTTGTTCAAGAAAGGGTAGGATGGAATTCCGCGAGTGGCAGGTAAAATGAAGTGCTTTTTGAAATAACTCGAGGTTTTCACTCCCTTTGAATTTCTAGGAATGAGCTCTCGACTCTAACAGTGGTTTGGGTTTTATGATCGTGTGTGTGACTTAAGCAAAGAAAAACAATAATCACGGTAGAAAAATGGCAGTGGTAGACTTGAAAGTCTATTCAAGGTAGTTATCCGTTTGATCTCAAATGAGAGTCTACATGGTGTATTGAGAAAGTTCCATTAAAATTCGTTTTACCGCAATGTTGTTCGAGTTCTATCACATAATTTTGAGTCATTAAAAGGTATGACCCCAAGACCTTAAATAACAGGTGAGTAACAACTAATATGTGTCTCCTCATTTTGTAATCACCATGTAATTCCCTACATAAATCGGGGAAAAATTTTATTACGATGCTATATTTATTGTATGAGTTTAAAACACCATGAAGCATATGTTGCCAAGACAAATCCAAGTGCTATAAAACAACTGGAAAAACGGACTTATACTTCGTCTAAGGAAGAATGACTAAATCACCACTGATTCCCATATCATAAATTGCCGAGGTGAAATGTTATTTTACATTTCCATACGCCAAACAGTGTTGCTAAAACTACTGTGGTTTTGTGCTACTTCTACTGTGGTAAACGAAGACCTGGTGAAGATAATCAATTTTATTATCTAAAACAAAATTACTAAATCACAAAACTGCCAAAATGTGAAAACCATACACTAAAGGCTTCGTTTGCAAGTTGTTCATCAACTGTTCTTTAAATCCCTCATGATTTTTCCATTTCCCAATTTATTTCTGTTTCCCTTTCCGTTTTATTCGGTTCATTTTTCTCAACCTTGCTTTAACAGAACTTCCCCTTCTGGTCGGTGTTACATACTGTATATATCTACCAATATAAATAGCATGCATCACACTGCTTAGGATTGATAATCTGAGTGGACTCCATCAAAAACCTAGAAAATCGACTTCAAATAAGTTGGTTATGTGATCACATGGGATAACAGCATCAACATCATCTGCCAATAACTCTGGTATGTCATTCATTCCAAATAAAAGTACAGTACCTAAGAGATATTTAAGTGCCAAGATATCAGTATAGGGGCTTCGTGTGGCTAGTGAGAATCAAGATACGGCATGCAGTCATCAGCTCGAACAGACTTCTCATGCTTATTCAGTATGCCACTAAGAGTGCTGGGAAGATCTTGCCTGACGCAAAATAAATGATAAATGACAAAGTGTAGATAACTGGAACATTCAAGATTCAAAACTGAATGACAGGTTTATGAGTAACTTACCACAAACTTATAACAACCACAAACCTCTTAAAATACTGTGTCGTATTAATACATAGCAGGACCAGAATTCTAACATAATAATTCCGAATTCGGACCTGGTGTGCGACATGGACGTGATTCCACTTTTGTAAAAGATTATGAAAACTGCACTCATAGTGCAATACTAAAACAAATAAAATTTATCATTAACCCTCTGCAACATCTACATGAATGTGCTGTCTTTTATCTACATTGGTTTCGTTTTCTTAAAAATTACCATTGAAAAACATAGTTTCTGCAAACCAATGTTATAAATTGCAGATCATACCTATAAAAATGACATGTACCCACCCTAGCCCAAATATATCGTATGAAGGGCGGTAGATACATCAATAGGTAGTGGTTCATGTGAAAATTAAAAATTACGATGAATATCAACACGATTGAATAATTGTCTTGAAAACACAAATCAGAAACGTGCGTAATTATTTTAAATAGAGTAGAATGCAGAAGGAATGGTTTTCTAGCCACACGGTCCGTGAAACTGAACAAATGATAATTGAGCAGGTTTACACTTGACATTTAACACGCAGAGGTCAGAAATGGTGAGCACGGAACACTTGACTGATATAGCATGACTCGCCCATGAAGCTGTGATCACTCTATGTAACCTCTTCTTTTCCCTAATAAATTCTTCAAAAATTCTTAGCAGCAATCACTACACTATACGACGAGTTAGCGTAGATAATAATGTGACTCCCACGTAAGGTGTGGTAGGTAGGGTTGTAGAATTATGGTCTACTTCGATATTAGTACTACTCTAATGATATACCTAATCCTAAAGTTGTAAATTTGTCATGATGTAACTGCCTAATCTATAAGATCTTACGTGTATGTCACACCATTATCTATCCTGACTTATTCGTACGGCAACAATCATCAATATATGATGAAGAACAGATTTATTCTGAAGATAAAACAATATGCTTGATATCGATAAAAGACTGTTATATAAGTTGGATCACGCCTGCAAGGCCAAGCCACGCCATTCGACCAACATGAACTAATTGAATTCATTCTTACCTTCTTCTCCACAGTTGGGTTAGGGAAAGACTACAACTAATGATTAGGTTAATTATCGTAATAATAAGGAAAAATGCACCTAGTACCAATTGACATTAAGGACTAGGTAGATATAATAGTGGTCACTATTTACCGATCAACCAGTTTAAATGTCTCATTCCCATAGGGTCAGTCGATGCCAAATTACCTGTCTTAAGACCGAAAATATGAAGTTGTGTGATGATGGCCTGAATCCGAAAAGCTACTGAAGATGGCACAGGTATTCAGTGTTCGACAGCGCTTTTACCAGCAACACCTAATATAATTCGTACCCACCCAGAGAAATCAAAAGACAGAGTCAAGGAGATCGGGAGAGTGTATTTAACGATAACCAATATATCGGAATACTCTGACCTAATCTGGCTAGCGATTGCAGTAGCAGTTGAGCACGGCGTTACCTCACGTGATCTGGTGCGGATGCCTGGCCGAGCGCCTTTAGCTAGATGAGTTCACTAAAACACATGGTCAGCATCCAATGTCGAAAACTTAAAGAGCTATTTATTTTGCGGATTTATTTACCGCTACACTAAATCAGTCTTTTCATGATCTCAGGCACGCCATGCTTACGAGTGTCAACTAGCAGGAAATGTGAAGTAAGACTTACGTGCAGAATATCTTGCACCATACACAATCAAGACAAAGAAACTGTGAACTGAGAAGTCATCTTGTTGTGGTAATACTGACTTCAACAACTTTAGGAAATTCACAGATACCTCACAAACTACGTTGCTTATCTATTTTCACCTTATTAAAATTCACGGTAAATTTCAAAAGATTGGCAAAAGAATATATCCTTTCCTCAATTGTCTGGAGAAAATATGGAGAGCAAATGAACAGATGCGAAGAAGTAATGTTTCATTCAGTGTTCTGAAAGATGTTGAAAAAATTGATGTTTAACGACTTAGATATCCTTATCTTTCCAGGTAGGCTATATACAGAATGTTGTGAGGATAAGCCTTGAAATCCAGGATTTGAAATAGTGAGGTTTGGAAAATTAACTCTGTAGATGTAATCTCTCAAAAACCTTGACTGTACACTCTGTGAACGAACGTAGTCACGAATGAACTTATAAGAGGATCAACATCGAACTTGGTCGCTTCCGTGGAAACATGTACTAAAACACGCATGACTTTCAAATTATTGGTTTTATGTTTACTTCTGTTTATATAATATTGAAAGGCTTTAAGGTGGTTGTAGTAGGTTTGTTGCCATGAGGGTGAATTCGTGGAGAGTGAGTGCCTTATTTCAATTAGGAAAACCATGCAACACTCAATATCGGATAAAAGGGACATAGTGCCAACCAAAAATAAGGAAGTAGTTAAATATTTTAACTATAATGTTTCGATCCTAATAGGAGATTCTCAGCTTAATTTCATTCACTTAAATTGGGCTGCTACAAACTCACGTCTCACACGGTAGTTATGCTAGTTTTGACACGGTTTTCAATGTACAAGGAGTAGGTATAACGTCATACACCGAAGGGAGCTTACGACTGTAATCAGGTATGTCGAGGGCAAGCGATAGTGAAACAACAAAATCTATTAGTAGTTGTGGTTATGACTTGACAATAATTTTGATAACACGTCGTCGTCCAAGTTATACTGAGGATAAATCCTCTAGGTCAGATCTACACGTGGATTAATGCAGTTAATTATCTGATTGTAGGGGATCAAAACGTGTCAAACATCAAGATAATAGGACCCGAAATTTAAGTCGTTGTTATCACTATTATCCGGAATTAAGCTTACTCTATTTTACAGGGCATTATGAAACCAACTATTGGATTTGATCCTTACTTATATTCATAACTGCGATTATGTTACTGAGTTTCAATTCTCACACTCGTTTACAACTAGAAATCAAATCTTTTGTACTGTAACTCACCAAATTACGTGAGCTGTGTCGATGATCTGTGGCTTACCCCAGTTGGTCAGGAATAACATGATCATCCCTAGCTCAATTTGAAATCACACCTCGAGGTTAGCACCAAACGTGAATTACTTTTCCGTCATGTCCAGGTACCATGGCTACTTTGATGACTGTATAATTAAAACGTAACGGTAAAACAGAAATGTGTTTTTAAGAATATGTACAAGAACAGCGTGTGACCACCGCTGCATTGGCAAGTTCATAGCGTGCAACTGAATGATGAACGTTGGTTTTACTTGGCCTTAACGAGAATCAGTAAACTATTCGACATTTAGAAACCTGAATATAAAATGATTTGTCTAGGGCCCAGTGACATTTCACTCACCCTAGAGTATTCTTACCAGTACTAAAATATGCGTGACTTTGTGCTGATCGACCCTGGTCTAAGAATATAAGTTATACAGCTTGGGATAGTTGTCAGTTTTTAGGTGTAAAATCCATGGATTTTAGCATAGCATTCGACAAGGTATTTCATGTAACACGTAAAAACAAGCCTTCGAATTTTGAAATCAGAAGCACAACACACTGTTGCATCGATAGAGTTCTGTGCAGTATAAGGAAGAGAATCAGAATAAAAGGGCTTAATTCGTAATAGAAATATACCATAATAGCACTTCATAAGATGTTGACTTAGATCATACACGGTTCGTACTCAACTTTAACGCAATGAAAAAGCTCTGTAGATTGTTACCATTCTTTTTACATGAAAGCGATGTATGTGTTTGGGGTAAAATACCCGGTGAAATTGAAAGGCTAGACTCCAGTCGGAATTCGGAAAAATCTATTGAATAGCTCAAAATTTGATGTCCAGACAAGACTCCTCCCACCAAAAACATACTATTACGAGCCAGGAATAGCAATAATAAAGAGTTCTTTATCAACAGTACACCACTGTCAAAAGTTATGTGACAAAAATTCATGATATGGAAACAACTGCGTGTCATAAAGTAAAAGTTGCCAAAGAGTCGCATTTCTACGGTCACTTACCAAAGCTTTTGAATTCTCTGACTGATAAACGTTTCAAAGTTTCATAAGCTACCAATATCACATCTAAGAAGCTAGCTTATGTTTAAGTGAATTATAGATCATCAATGTAGATTATCTATGACGAATGATTGGGGGCCTACTAGTGTTAGACAGGAATGGTGTGACGAACCAGCTTCAGTTCAAGTCACAAATCGCGATCAGCACCTAACGTCGATTACCCCATCGACGTATTAAGGTACTATAGATGTTTTGAAGGCTGTACAACACAAAGGACGTTATTACAGAAATATATTATTTTAAGTAGATATAAGCGAAGGTAAGACCACTGCCGTATGGACCAGTTCATGGCATACGATTAACTGATGCGTGTTGGTCACCCTTGACACTGACAGAGATCGATGATCGGTTTGATATTCAGTTACCCAACTGCCAGATTGTTTACCTAGGGCCTAGTGACATTTCACTGGCCCTACAGGATTTTCAGGTCATGCCAAGATGGTCCAAAAACAGACACTAGGTTGCTAGCAGGAGTTTATAATTTTTACATTAGATGACTATTTTATTTTACTTGTCATCTTATGTTAGCCTACCACACATTGGATAACAATCGGAAAGTCAAGACTGTAGCGGGTAAGACTATCCACTTACAGGTCCTATTCCATGATAGTCTTAATCTGAGGCTTGTGTTATTTATAATTCTTGTTGATTGCTTTGGATGTTAAGTGTAGGTGTATTGTATGCGCTTACTGAGTCGTCGACTGACCACTTTTTATTCTTCTTTGTTTAAGTTCTCCTCACTCACACACTCTGCATCTCCCAGTAGTACACAAACTTCCTTCTGGTTAGATGCGAACCATAACAAGTTACATAATATTTCTCTTATCATCAGAACTAAGGCCTTTTGAAACTGTTTCTGAAACGTCTAAAAACTGTTTCTTAATAAGATTATATTTATATTCCTTATTTTCCATTCAGTGGTCAACATCTGGGTCGCTCGTCACCATAAACAGATATCAGCCTCAACGATTATTGCATTTAACGGAACAGTAGATTTTCAAGGGTGAAAATGCTTAGAAGATTAGTAGACACTAACTGACCTACCATTACTGAAAACTGAGAGGAAATAAATTGGGCATTGGAAGTGGCCTTTTCAAGTCGATTGTTACGTCCGTAGATTTAGTAGGTCATTACTAAGAATTGCACTATCTGTCATTGATTATTAATTTGCCTTCTTCTACCATTTGCTAGCAATGAATAGAGAAAATGAAAGTAAATGATGGTCAAATGTGAGAAACAGCTATTTGCTTTAGAACAATAATGTTCATTGTTGTGTACTCTGTTAATTTATTCACCACCATATCCAGAAGACTGACGCATTACAAATAAAAAAAGTGTTAGATTAGTTTGGTAATATTATGAACATGTTGCGTAAATCCTATTTTGTCTTTGAAGGTTGTAGTTAAACAAGGAAATCGGACGATTTGCATTTAAAAAGGTTAGCCAGGTAGAAAAAGAAGTAAAAAACAGTTAAAAGTACTACATAATTAGATGAACCTCATCGAAGTCTTGTCGTTAAGCTTTGTTGACGAAGTACATGTATACAGCAAGAGTCGGCGTAAACGTTTGAAATGACATGGTCTACAAAATTTTATGTAAAAATATTTTGCATGGAATGGATATCTTACAATGATATTATTTATTATTTAGGAAGCCAGCCAATTAGTGAAAATACACCGGAATTAGTGATTTGTACGTAAACGTACGAAGTAACTTATGTCTGAATTTTCTTTTATTTCTGTCCCATGCTTGTTTACTTTACTTCTTGCACTACAAGATGACCTGGCTCTCATGGTCATTTGATGAATCGATTTGATATCTTACTCGGACAACGAGTCACCTTGAAATCTGGAATACATCACATCTAACCAATAATGTTTGATATAATTCTAACCTACTTCAAATCATTTTGCAAAATCTGTGATTGCCAATACTCAGCTCGCTTTTTGTTCCATCTAGAGTTAAAATTATTTCAAGTTAGTCTGTCATTATGTAAGCCGAAATTAACTTTGCTGACTCACGAAGATCATTCTCAATGATCGGTGATATTCTTGTATCCTTAATCATACTTAACAACTGTTGCAACCTACATATTGATCACGGAATTTTTGATCTCCCAATACAGCTTCCAATGTACCTGGTTCTACAGGCGTCTGAGATGGAAACTGTGAAGGCCGGGAATCCACGTTTTATATACTTTCTCCTTGACTTTAATGAATGAGATTTTAACGTAAGCCGTCAAATTATTTTTCTGATTAGATAAATCTGCAATGCCTGGCATTGTTTTGTCAACATTTTGTTTCAAGGCCTGAAACCTCCGATCATTAAAACGATACAACCTGCTTGTGATGACTAAACTTCAGTTTTCGAAAACCTGATATATATGAATCTATTAAATGAATAGATTGCGATTGTGATAAGATGCCCAAAGATTAAGCCTAATATTCATGTTTTAATTGGTTGGGTAATGAGTAACCTACACCTTAAATATTTGGCCGTGTTTATTTTGTATTCATATTCCGTATCTAAGCGCATCATTTTATCTCACGAAAATCTAATCTGGCTAAGGGTCTTTTATTTTTAATCATTCGGAGGCCTTAGTCATTAACAAGATCTCATGAGTAGCCACCACTAGGCCACATCATATCATTGTATTCACCTATCAATCAAAATTTCATTCGTCAATCTTAACAGTCTTAAATTTCGTCCCATTAAATCACCAAACACTTGCGTAATAGATCTATGTAAAACCCCTTCAAAATGTTAATTTATGAGAAATCTACAAAAGCACATCGAACCTTCAACTCCTCGGAAGTGTACACATCAACATTGTGCTTCTTTTTGCTTCTCTGTCAAACGTCTTTGTTGTATGCTATCATCATTTTACCTTATAAACTTTATTGAAAGATACGATAGCACAACATCTTTGGCATTTTACCCGAGGATAGTATTAAATCCAGCACTTGAACACACAGCTGACTGGAAGTTATGTGAAAGGATATTTTATCACAACTAACCACAACAGTTTAAAACCTTAGATTTTTTCAAAAAGCAGTCAGCATCGGGATTAATCCGACCCGTGATTTCTCCTGACGTCACATCCTCCTTGTATATAAATAATTCTTCGTTTAACAGTTAGTCGCTTGGGTATTCGAGCACATCTTTCCCGCCGATGTCGTTGATAATAACATGGAGTTTTGATTGATGCTGAAGGAAAATGTAATTGTGTTATAAAACCTAAAACCATTACATATGATAACTGGATAAATTCGTTGATAACTCTAACTTGTAAAATGTGCTGCCATGATCTAAAAGTTTGAACCAATATGCAGACTTATTAAACTTAGAACTATTTCTAGCGGGAAACTTCTTGATAAGTGATATCATTGAATGAGCATAGACGTACGTTAGAATGGGATGATAACCTCGTAGTATTACGTTGGCATTAAAATATACTTACAGTGTATGTCCGTCGTAGAAATCCACATTTGTGGCTAACTGTTGAATATCTGAAGATACGTATACTTATGGTGATAGAAAACCAGGTTTCAATGCGATTCTGACGGATGTTGTAAGTGAGTTACAAGCGATGCTGAAAGTAGGCCTGAGTGTCTCAAAGTTTTAAATGAATCTTGGTGCTAATTTGACGACTATAGTTTGTAACACCCTCTTGTTCAAGTATTAAGTATGCCGTTGAACATAATTTAATAGCAGGTTGTGAATAGTGTTTAGTTTTAAACGAACTTTGCTCCATCTACTTCTGTTTAGTATCATTAGCCTTTACTTAGAGTGTCTCATAACCCCCAACTATCTGGTGAGTGAGTTAACCTAAAAAGGTTGTTTTAGGCTCTCACCTCAGTACGCGCATAACCTTTGGAAATAGGAACTTACTAGTCATCGGAAATTTCAAGGAAAACTCCCAGACTAGTAGAAATGGCGTGTCTTTTGTTGCATTGCCCAAATTTTCTAATATGACTCATGCAAAGTTTCCATAAAACTGGTCTAATCTTTCTCAAAGTTGGGATAGTGAGACTTTTTCTTCAAACGTCTACCTCTAGGGGAAGTGTCAAACAATTTACATCTCTGTGTACTTCGAGTAGTCTACTTTTCGCTTGAAGTTTGATCTCATTATTTCCCTTTCTCTTAGATTTAGGCCAAATAGTTCAATTTTCCTCTCCCTCAGAAACCAACTTTTCTTTGCAGTTAAAATAAGTTAGAAGAATGGTTTGTGTGAAAATCCATTTATTTAAACAAATTTTAATAAGTTTACAAAAATACTAAAAACGGTAAGGTATTAGTGACATTCCTATTTTGCAACTGAAAATTATAGTTATTCTCGAATGCAATCTAAAACAAAGTAACAATTAGCAGTGTAGAGGTGGACTATTTGACGTAAATAGTGACTAGAAATGTCTCATATTTTAAACGGATCACCAACTCATGCATACTTTTACCATTTATTCCTCATTTATTTGGATGCAGCACATCCAACTGAATATGTATAAGTATGTTTAAAAAGCATTTTACTTAGAAAATTTTAGATAATAGTTAAGAAACTTCAAAAACATAAACGTATAAATCACATATTGTCATTAAGGAGCATAATTTTCATCAGTGGAATTCTGAAGTGAAATAATATCTGTTGGTTATTGGAAGAGGAGGGGATGTCTTTAAAATCTGGACCACGAAGATATGACACCGTGTATTGGGACTTACAGTAACCTTCAACAAAATTGGTGCGTGTATCTAGGAAACGGAAATAAAAAGTCAGTGCAAACTGTTACCTTCATTTTTTCCCTATATCATGAAAGTAATGCAGGTTTACCGTGTCGAAAACTGTCTCAAGACCTTTTTCACTGACACTGGTAAAAATCCTGATGTTTATCTGCCTAGTGAATAAAGAACCAGTCTTATTTCTTATGTTGTTGTAAAACCTATACCTATGATGTCCCCGTTTGGTAATAGTCCTAAACAAAGTAAACTTTCAAGTTCTGTCTTCATGCTGTAGGCGAAAATACTTCGACTGAATGTTTTCTGGGGATTATTTGTGCGTAGGTTAACGATTTCCAGCTTGTGTTAAAGAATTCTAAAAAATCTTTAGTTGACAAATTTATTATTCTAGTCTTCTTATCGAAGGTACATGTCCGACTCTCTCAGCTCCTCTTCCGTTGAGAGGGAATCGCTAATGCAATAATTCTGCATCCATCTTATTGAACATGCTACCAAAGCGTGACCGCCTAAAGTGAAATTAGTCTGCATTAGGTAATTGTTTAGTATTCATGTTCGTGAATGTTTTATTTACAGTGGTAATCTAATTAAATACACGTTTTATTTTTGCTTTCAGAAATCTAGGTTTAGAATGAATCATAACCAGTTTAAATTTGACTTTCCAATAGAACAAGTTTTGGAAGAATGGAAGACACTAGATGAAAATGAAGACATACCGGCTGAAGATCAAGAGAACGATAACGATGAATCGAATATTGTTAGTCAAGAATCCTTTTTTGCTCCTCACTACAAAGATGGTATTGAATATTTTTCCATAAAAAACCCTGAAAAAGTAAAGCAAGAGTGGCTTGAAGCTAGAAAATTAATTATACCACATATTCAGAACGTTGTAAAGCATCTAGTTCGAGAAAAATTTCAAAAATGATTGAATATATGAGAAATTATTCTTTCCCTGCATTTTAATTTTGCTATTCACTGTTAATTATGTCATTTGAGTGGGTTTTGAATATAGATACATAAAAAGAACCTTCTGGATACATTTTTGCTCAGGATCACTTGGTAATGCTTCATGATTTGATTCTTGACATGTCACATTCTATATTCATTTCATGTTAGCTGTAGATTTTATGCCTATCATTGCCACCTATATTATAGTCATATGTTTATTTCACCTTATAACTCGTTTATATCCCGTTTAAACAGTCTTTAGTCGTCAGATGGTTTTTTTCAGTCTTGGTGGTTAACTGACTTGCTTTCTAATCAGTTGGTTGTTTATTTGGATTTTTCTTGAACTACTTTGGCTTGATTGACTTGGTTGTCTCATTAAATTTCACACAAAGTGTGCCTTTAAGAACAGTATAAGAACTGGCACCTAGTTTGCTTTTCAGAGGTTGTTACTGAATGTGAAATCAGACGCGGTTGTTGTGAGATCACTCATGCTTTTTCAGATCACTGTCTTCAATTTTTGACACTTAAACAGACTAAACAACAGATAAATGTTATTGAAACATTAGAAGGTTTCATTTTGATGTTATTTGTGCTTCAAGAAATTGTGTTTGAGACTCCGACAAAGTAATTTTTAAGGTCCTTACTGTTATGTTTAACCATTATAAGGTCAGGTTTCTTAAAATCTTGGAACGCCGACTTTAGCAGTTTGGATGCGACCTACATATCAACTCAAAAGCTAAGGAAATAGGCTGTCAATCCCTTGCACAGCCAAGTGGAATAAATGGTATTTCCGTTGAATTAAGACATAAAGGCACATTGTCTCTCCCTTTAACTTGGTCCTACAGGCTGTGCAACTCAATTTGCGATGTTATCAGACATATCTCAAAACAATAGCTAACATAGATACTGTTGTATTTCTTGTGAACAGCGAAATGCAACTAACTAAACTAAATTTATATTGATTGTCCTTGATTAAGTTGTATCTACTGACATTTTCATTTGTTTAAGTATCCTCTCTTCCATTCTTCATTAAATTGTTATCAAATTTTATGTAGTCTATGCCCTATTGATTATATCCGAACGTCTTTCTGTCTTAAAATTAAAGTGGAATTTATCACCTTTATTTTTGATGTGAAAAGCTTACGTACGTATTCTCTAAAACTACAGTATAAATATGACACAAATAAAAAATGCTTTCATATTTCTGTTTTAAACTAGTATATGGCGCGCCTTACTAACAGATTTATAATGGCTCAAATATGTTACGGGCATAGTATTTGATTTGTAAGCTATTGTGACTGATTATTAAAGACACTTGTTTTGCATATAATCAATGTCTGCACATACTAAATCTGCAATGTGTTCGAAAGCCACGCTTGTTTAGTAGATAACAGTGTTTTCTTTAAGAACATAACGCGTAACATACAAAAGCAATGGCGAAATTATTTTTTATGCCAATAATCCGACTTCAATGATCAAATCTAACTCGAAATACGTACTACCTCCACATAATTGTTCGAGCTACTCAAAAGGATACGTACTCATTTAGATGGGTCAAATCGTCTGGATGCTTTAAGTTGACTGAAAAGTTCCTGGTAAGTGATTCATGTTCGCTCCGATCAGTGCAACTATGAGAAAATTGTTATCTATTACTTGCTCCCAGCTGAAACAGTAATTTTCCATAAATTCTCTTAAGGTCCCATAAGTTCGTGTAGACAAACCTAAAGAACTTGAAAAAGTAAAACACAATACTTTTATAGACGGAGGATAAATACATTCTGCTGTTTTACCCCATTAATATATAACATAAAGTACTTTTCTCGTCAGCACTTACAGTTTCCAGACTATCCTTGTTAAATACTGTGAAAAATGTCGAAAATTCTATGATAAACCCACTACTGAACCCATTCACTTTGAGGTGTAAGTAGTTCTTCTAATGTTTTGTCACTGACTTTAATTCAGAGTAACCCTTCATACGTATACTAACAGATTCCATCAATCTAACTGGACTACCTTTGAAAGAAGAACTAACCAAAAATCGACTTTTCGTCATAAACACCCATTTTATCATCTATGATTTCACTACTTGAGATTTAAATCATTCTTCGTTTTTGATGACAACCAAAATAGTTTACCGAGGTTCCGGAACATCCATTTTATTATCTAATGTACAGTGTTATGAACGATAAAGGGATATGACAATTAGCACATTCTAGAGACTCATCTATTTGATTCACTACTTAACGAAAACACTTCAAATGTTATGCATTTGTAGGGGCTGGTACTATGTCAAACCACATGGGTTATTCTAGCCTCTGGACAGACTGATCTATTCATTCCCCTCAAACCACATTTTTACTTTGTCACTTATTCTCTTATTAATCCTGACTGTTTTTGTATGATCATGTGTTAATTACTTACCCTATTCATTTGTCCGTAATTTATTTTTGCTTGACTGTAAATATCGAGTCATGCTTGATTAAGTTAAGTTGGTTCACCCTCCTCCACTGCGCTACTACGTTTCATTTCGTCTTGCTTCGCTTCCTTCACTCTGTTTCTCTGTTCAGATCAACGATTGTTTGAAATATATGTATGCAAAATCCACTCTCATACTTGACTTATTCAATCCCTTATTCTCTAACGCAAATTAAGTTGATAATTATATACGAGGCTAGCTAGCATGTATATTTGGATGACAATCATCATATGATATAACTGAAGTCCGATATCGGGCCAGTAAAGATTATAATTAATTCAATTGACGTTATCAAAAAACCCTACTATAAACGAACATTGATTGGCTGTATTTGAATCCATTTTTAATATGTTTGTTATTAGATTTGAAACTGACGTATGTAATTTATTCAGTAGTGGTACCAATAAGTCTCACTGTTAACAATATTTGGGGACAGTCTATTGGTTTCTAACTTGGATTTTATCAACTACATGAATATTTTCGAGAATGATAACTGTATTTTAAAGAGCTTTCTTCATATCTATAATTTGACATTAAATTGAAGAATGACTCTGAAAGAATTAGGTCCCACAGTTTACAACAGATTAGATCTGAAAACAAAAAATAGTGTAAAATCTAGCACAAATGTTTATCAATCTAAGTTAACACCATTTCGTAATACGCTAACAGGGGCAGACAAGGGGATCGTAAACGTTTAGTCATGAGTTAATGTGACAGACTAATAAGAACTGTTGTGTGATTTTGGGGTGCTCAATTGTAACTTCAATTCTGCCTGTAGCTCTTGTAAATTTACTGCCAGCCCCAAGCCCAGGTAAAAGAGGAGGGTTGGGCATGGGGTTAGCGACCCCATCCCGTAGAAAACTAACTCCCTAAAAAACGCTAACCGCCATCAAAAAGGTACAAGTATTTATAAATAGCCGTCTACGCAGGATGCTCAACATCCATTGGCCGGATACCATCAGCAACATCCTTCTGTGGGAGAAGATAAATCAGCTTCCAGCTGAAGAGGACATACATTACGCAAATTATCAAACTGCATCACGAGGCAAGCCCTAGCTTGGAGTCCTGAAGGGAAGCTGAAAAGAGGAAGGCCAAAGAACACATTATGTCGGGAAATAGAAGCAGACATGAAAAAGACGAATAACTGGAAAGGGTTGCCCAGGACAGGGTTGGATGGCGAATGTTGGTGAGCGGCCTATGGTCCTTCACGAGGAGTAACAGGCGTAAGTAATTGTAACTTCGTTGAGCATATTGTATGCATGGATGTTTATTTCCATACAGTGCTAATTACCATTTCTATATTTATTGACAGCTAATAGAGCGAAGACACTTTTCTTCATGACTCTACGCTATATATATTTACGATTTACAATGAATTAGTGATATTCACTAGGTGTTTGTGTAGCGTAATAGTGGTTATAAAATAATGTTTTCATATGTGTAGACTTGTCAATTATTTACCGTTAACTTGGAGCACTTTTTAGTTGTGCTCGACTTATGTATATCCGTTATCTATACTTTGATTGATTACCTGTAATTCACACACTAATGACCTTATGTAGTGACTAAGTTACCCACTGTCCACTGATTTGACTTATACAGCTTGCCCTATTTACATTAATTCAATATCTATCATCCTTCGCCCAGTTTGCCTACTCATATAAATGCCTAAAATATGCATGTCCTAAATACATACCGTATCCAGTTGTTTATTTCTACGCGATTGGTTGACAGAGGATACACAAAGTTAAGGATGAATGTATTTAGTGAACATCGTCATTGATTGATCATGTAGTCAACAATAGAGACGCAGTGATAAACCAGATTTCAGACGAAATATGAACTCAAAAAAACAGATGCAGATGACATACTCATCGAATTCGATTCAGCACACATAAATACACTCAAGTCGAATTGTTCAAACTACGTGCCGGTTACTTCTATCCGTGAATTTTGTAAATCATTCATATAATCGTTGTTTTATCCGCAAAAGTTGTAGATTTATTATAAGATTACAACAATGAAGGTACTAACTCTTCGGATCATTATATTTATTTAATATTATATATTTATTCACTCCTATTAGTCATTCATCCACTATATCGTTATTGGCGTCATGACCTTCACAAATCACTAGACCATTTCTTTTTAGTGCACAATCCCGCTTCTTTTCCCGTTTAAAGTGAGTTCGTCCCATTTTTTGTCACGTAATATCTATGTCATACTATACACGCACTTTTTTCTCCTTTCGATTTCATCTCTTAGTAATATGTCAGTGAATGTTTTTGATAAGTCAAGTCTTCATATTGTTCTGAATCGTCTACTGCAGCAATTACTGTGAGATAGATCATTTATTTTTGTGCCCATCATTATCTCATAATTTTTAAGTATTTATAAAGGTAAATAAATCCTTAAATACCTTCGTCAGCAATACTGACCTTATTAATTTTACTAGATTCACCTCTAGTTGAAAGTGCTCGGTCAAGCATCCACACCAGACCACATTTAGTACGCGGTGCTCGCGTCTCTTGCGGTGGTTCAGT